TAATTGGAAGATTGAGGATTCCAAATCCCTTTACAGTGAGTTGCAGTTTTCAACATTGCAGTATATATAAGGCTGGTTGAGTGTGGTCCTGGATTGGGCCCTTGAGATTAGGAACTGAAAAAATAGGATATTTCCAAATCCTTTCTGTAGAGAACTTGTGTAAATGTTTTCCTTGGGGAAGGAAGACTGGCCCTTCAGTTAGGAGCAACTCCCTTAAGATGCTGGGCTTGGTGGGCCTCAAGGTACAGGGTTTGATTGTTTTAATTTTAAGCAATACCATTACCTTCCTTTCAAGAATGTACTTGCAGTTGTCCTCACCACATATGGCATGAAGTTTTATGAGAAGTGCCTTTCTTTGGAAGCTGGGATGTGGAGCAAATGGAAGGTTGCCTCCCCATTGCTTTCTCATCCTTGATGGTTGGTTCTGCAGATCTTCAGCGCTTCCAAGATGGTTCTGAGCCACTGCAGGGTGCTTGCGGGGGGCCTCCAGGAAGTGTTTTGTGTGCCTTTTTTCATGGGAGCATAAAGCCTTTGAACACAACAGAAATGCATGATGGTCTGTCCCAGTTGGCTCCTGGGGTTCTTTGTTTACCCGGATTCTTGGTGCTCCCTGCAAGGGAACTCTATGGAGGAGGGAACTGGGTTTGGGTACGTACTTTTGCTTGTGTTTTGAAAATACTTGGGGTGCTGAGCACCATTCTGTATTAGATGGAAACTGGATTCATATATGATGCATGCACGCTTTAGGGGGCATAAATGTGAGTGCGTTCGGGCACGACTTTTCACTTGTGAAGACAGCATGCTGTGTATGGGATGGTATATATTTGCTTGGCCCGGTGACATGAATGCACCGCGTTTCCAGGAGATCACCTTGTTGCTCTCATTAACCATCTAGGTTGCAATGCACACACACGCCCAAGGTACATTGCTTCCATTCATTCATCTGCTGAGCAAACGTGCTCAAAAGAGTTTGGAGCGCCTTTCCGACTGTGTCATGTAGGAGTTGCGCACGCCTCTCCTTCTTACACATACGCAAATGTGCATTATGCTGTGACCCTTGGGGGTCTACATTATACACCTTGTATGCCTTGCTGTACATTGAAACAAGCATTGTGAATGGTAGATGTTTGCACAGCTATAAGAAACACGGCCACACAAACCACGTATTGTTGCCCACCAAGTGCCTGCCAGCCTTTCCTTGCTTTGCAGTCCTGGGTGGGCAGCAAATTCAGAAGGCATATTAAGCACCCCCGGTGGACCTCTACAGATGGCTTGCTGCCTGCCTTTGCCTTGGTGGTTCACGGGTCATGCAGGCCTCTTTGTTGGAATCGATAGCTGTACACAGTAGAAGGCCTGTGATGCCGTACACGTAACTCACGGTGAGAGGCCGTGCTCAGCAAAATAACACGGGAAGGTGTGGATGTAGTCTGTGAAGCTTCGGTGGTGGTGGGGAGAGGCCATGACTCAATGGCAGAGCATCTGCTTGGCATGCAGAAGGCTCCAGGTTTAATCCCCAGCCTCTCTAGTTTAAAGGATCCGGTAGTAAGTTAGGTAAAAGACCGCAACCTGAGACCTTGGAGAACCGCTGCCGGTCTAAGTAAACGATACTGACTGTGATGGACCAAGGGTCTGATTCGGTATAAGGTAGCCTCATGTGTTGATGTGAAACGCGGCACTGCTTGTGATTGGTGATGAGAACTGGAGGCTCGCCAGCCACACAGTCTGGTGTCTGCTGCCCTTTCCCTGAACAGTTTGTTGTGCTTTGCTGCTTCTTACAGTGCCGGTCCAAGCTGCATGGGGAAGCCTCTACAAAATACTTTCATCCTCAACAGTGAACTTCAATCATGTGCCTGGGCACTTCCTGAAACCCTTGCAGCAAACACTGCAATGTGCAGTTGCAGGGAGCGGTGACTGTTACCGGTCGTATTTACAGTGTTGGAGGCCCATTCGCCGTGTGTACATGCTGCGCTTGCAGCCAAGTTGCTCTCGCTGGAGGAGGTTGTACATGGCGCTGTTTCTGGAGGATGTGCGTCCCTGCACGGTTCCAGGTTTGCAGTACAGTCGCCTTGGGCTCTGTATTTTCATGGACAATCCTATAGCTATGAGGGTCTTTGCACAGTCTTGTGCATCACCTGTGTCGGCCTGGTGCAGTGCCACTGAGCATGCACAGTGCATTTTACATTGCAGGACTGTTGCTGTGTGTAGCACACTTTTATTTACCCCATGGTAGCACTGCTTGTAGTGAAGACTGAGCAGTAGGTGCTCTGTTTGAAGTGGTTGCCTGTGTAACGTCGTCCGTGTTTCCTGGCCTGCTGCTCTGTATGGCAGATTTGCACTGTAGAATATCTTTTCAATGCGAGGCCTGAACTCTGGTCGTCTCTGTGTGGGCACTGCCCAAACCCTGGACAATGAGCAACGTACAGCGTGTTCTAAACGGGAAGTATGTTTACCCAGTGCCCTGGCTTTATTTTTTTGTGCAGTGTGTGCAAGACTTCCCGTACCCGAACCCTGTGTACCGGGAAAGGTTTAGATTTGCATTGCTAAAGCTTAGTACAGCAGAACCTTGCCGCGCTTTCTGATTGTGCAGAGCTTGTTTTCTTTTGCAGGGCACCTTTCTTGGACCTTGTGTTGCCTCGTCCAGTGGTTTGTGTTGTTACAGTACGAACGACATGTTTAGAGTGCCGGGGTGGGGGTGGGGGGTTGTGCAGGAATGGGGAGGAAGAGAGGTTTGGAGCCAGCAGCATGGGCGTTTAGCACGCATGGTGCTGTGTTTGCAGTTAGGGTAGAGCAGGCACAGTGTATTAGGCCCTTGTTATTCCCCTGTACATCAGGAGAGCATCTGATTCGGGAACTCCCTTTGGGATGGGACCGGCCCCTCACATGTCCTGTTGTCTCTCTCCTTTGCAGTGACTACATCATTAAAGAGAAGACGGTGCTGCTGCAGAAGAAGGACAACGAAGGATTTGGCTTTGTGCTGAGAGGGGCCAAGGGTGAGAGGGGAAAGTCTGGACAGTGAGAGGAGGCCTCTGGGCGGAGACCAAGGGCCGGCCATCTTGTTTAGCGTCTAGGGAAGGAGCCTAGGTCTGCACTGTCTGGCCAGCCCCTCCGGTTCACTCCCCACTGGTGCCTGCTCTGGATCTGGGGCATCCTGCTGATCCACACTCAGACTCCATGAGCTAGTTCTCCAACTGCTTTCACCACCCTTCTATCGGAGGGGTCAAAGGGTGGGCCCGGGGGGAATGAAGGCTGGGAACTGCTGGCTCAAACAGTGACAGAATGGCGGGGCGGTTAGAGTGTCGGGCAGATCTGGGAGAGTCTGGTTCAGATCTCCACTTTGCCGTAGAAACGCCACCCGGTGACCGTGGTGACCAGTCACTCTCTGTCAGCCTAGCCTACCTTACAGGATGGTTGTTGGGGCGATAACATGATGGCAACGAGAACAATGCCGTAAGCTGCTTTGGTTCCCCAGTGGGGAGGAGAGCAGGGTGTAATTATCTACATAAATAAGGACTCCGTTTTTTGCTTGGGAGTGGAGAGCCGGAAGACAATTTATGCCGAGGAAGAAGGTTCTGTGCGGCCCAAGTGATGAGTTTGGGTAAAGGCAACCTCACTTTGGATCTTGGGCTTGTACTAAACTAGAGGGGCAGAGCATACACTCTGTTCCAAAACGGGAGGTGTGTTGGGGCTCACATTTCATTGCCCTTGACTTAGAAGCTCGTATCTGAATCTCAGAGGTGAGTGTGGAAGGGACTGGGCCGGCTGTGGTTTCCCAGGGGAAAGAAGGTGCTTTTTGCATATGCTCAGAGGCACCAACTTTGCTAATCCTTGGAAAGTGCTCTTGCTTTAGGGGGGGGTGTCTTGGGTCTGATATCAACCCTTGTTTAGGTTCTTAGGGAGGGGGCGCCTAGGAAAGGAAGCCCCTGGCCAAACTAGGCAATCCGAAATCCTGCCTCCCTTCTCCTCAGCCGCTGCTCAGTTCCAGTGATGTCACTGACACATCTCTCTCCCTACAGCGCAGACCCCCATTGAGGAGTTCACACCCACTCCCGCCTTCCCTGCCCTGCAATACCTGGAGTCGGTGGATGAAGGAGGCGTGGCCTGGCGTGCAGGTCTACGTATGGGAGACTTCCTCATTGAGGTAACACAGTGGGCAGGCCCATCTGATGTTCCTTTCAGGACCTTCCTGTGAAATGTCATGCACGTTACAAGGGTGGGGCCGTTACATGGGTATGCAAGGACTTTCTACAGTTGCCAGGTCCAGCTTGTAAAATTCCTGGGAGAGCAGTGCCTGGGAAGAGCAGTTTGGGAAGCTGTGGGAGCTCAGCAGGGATGTAATGCCATATAAAGGCCCCTGCCACACGGGGTGTGTGTGTGTGTGTGTAAAAGCACGGGCAAAGTGCCAGTTCGGGTGGGAGCCTGGATTGCTCCAGACAACGGGCGCGCCGGCGATCCCACGGCCGCACTTGATGCGGCGTTCCCGGTAAGTCCTCCTTTGTGGGTGGTTCTTTTTTACTGTGGGTTTTCGGCCTGAAGGGCCGGATCGGGGACGGGTGCGCGCCGCTTCCCAGATGTTGCGGTGAGATCGTGCCCGTTTGGTGCGCCCCCGATCCGTCCCTCTCCCGGGCCAAAACCTTCCGTGTGACCAGGGCCAGAGTCTGATATTTCCTCTACTGGGACTGATCCCTGCACTCTAGAGATCAGTTGTAACTCTGGGAGGACTCCAGGCCACACCTAGAGGTTGGCAGCTCTGGTGCTTACTAGGGCAGCCGTTCTTTGCTCCTGCATTTTAAAAACGTAGCCCGTGCCATTATCTGATTGTTGTCAGTCTCCAGGTTTTGGAAACGTCATTCGACGGTCCACATACCTTCCTTGAAAAATACAGAGCGTGGCAGTTGGAAAAGTTTTCTCTTTATGAAGACAGAACAAAAATGAGTTTGATCTTATGCTGAGTTGCGCTCGCTGCAAGTGTGTGGATTTTCGTTGGCCAGACCACCAACCCTCCCCTGCGTCACATGAAAATCGCTGGTCCACCTCACTCAAAATTGACTGGCCACAGTTTTCCAGGGTCTGAGATCATCGCGGGGAGGGTGGTATATAAATCAAATAAATAAATAAAGGTATTTCCCAATTTGTATTACCGAAGATCCTTCATCTAGAGAGGCCAAGAATCAAACTTGGTATTCTCTGTATGCAAAGCAGGCCTGCCACTGAGGTAGAGCCTAGCAGTCTTTCC